ATAAAATTAACAGCGATAATTGCTTTTTATTAGATGATGAAATTGTTGAAACAGTAAGACCAAACTCAAGTGCAGATGATTTGCAAGATGAAGAAGAAATTATTCCTATTATTTTCTTGACAGAAGTACTAATTAATGTAGAAAACTTGATTAATTTACATAATTTCCCATTAGAAAATTTTAAGTAACCAATGAAGAACTGAGAATTTTAAAAGGTATTAGGTGTAAGGTGTTGAGATATAAATCAGAATCTTCAATTCAATTAAGTATGGATGAATTTATCAATTTTAATTAGAAATTTTTTTTTTTTTGAAAATAACTTACAATAATGGAACTTTATGGAAATATTTTATAAGTGAAATGTAGGAATAATAAATAATATAATACAAAATAAACAAATAAAATTTTTTTTAATAATTTTTCTGTATAGTAAATTTTTACATTATTTACTATTTAAATCGGTATATCAAAAAAAGATCATTTATTCAAATCTTCATTATAACGAACTAAAACTATCAAACTGGAGGGTTCGTTATATTAAGTTCTGACTGTAGTAAAAATTTATATTACAAAAATTTTGCTATATTAAAAATAAAGTTTGTTATAAAAAAAAATTCAGTATAAAAGGAATTATTTATATATGTGAATTTATATATTTTTCTTTATTAAACGTTATACTATGTTTAGTTAGTAGAATTCAGTATAACAATTTTTTTTTCATATAATAAAATCTGTATTATATTAAAGATTCGTTATATTGTAAAATTTATTATATCAAAATTCACTATAAAAAGAGTTAACTATAGTTAAAGCTCCGAACGGGTCAGTTTGGTCCGGATTATAGATGGTTCGGATTAGAGCCAAAATCCGTAAGAACCGAACTGAAAAACTGGCAGTTCGGTTCAGTTTAATACGATTTTTATAAAAATGCGAAAAATCAAATAGCCGGCCATCTACAAAGTCGAGCCATATATCATTGGATTCATCTTGACAAGACGCGTCGAATGGTGGTAAGATCATGTCTCTAGCATCGATAGATAGCTTGCTAATGCCAATTTTTTATAAACCATTTAGCATGAATTAACTTACAATCTATTGATGCTAGAGACATGATCTCACCACCATTCGACTCATCTCATTAAGACGAATCCAATGAGTCTTATTTCATATTTGTATGACTATTGGACGATGAATAAATTCATGTATCAGAATTTTTAATTTTTAACGCTCAAAAATTTTAAAAAAATGCGAAACTTGATATTATTCGCCATCTAGTGGTCATACACGAACGAATTCATATTCATTGGATTCGTCTCACTGAGACGCGTCGAATGGTGCTAAGATCATGTCTCTAGCACCAATAGATAGCTTACTAATTCCAATTATTTATAAATCATTTAGCGTGGGTTAATGTGTGATCTATTGATGCTAGAAATATGATCTTACCGCCATTCGACGTGTCTTGTCGAGATGAATCCAATGATATATGGCTCGACTTTGTACGATCACTAGATGTCCGACTATTCGATTTTTCACATTTTTATAAAAAATCAGATTAAACTGAACCAAACTGCCAGTTTTTCGGTTCTAATACCTGAACCAAACTGAACCAAATTTTGAGCCGGTTTCGGATTGGTTCTCCGGTTTAGCCCGAACTGTTCAGAGCTTTAACTATAGTATATGTAACTTTTCTAATACAGTAACTAGTTTTTATTTTATTTATAAAAAAGAGATTTTTTGAAAACATTTTTTTTTTCTTTTGTTTATTCTTTTTTTATTAACTTATAGTTTTATTAAATTTTTTTGCAATTTTTTAAAAATAGTAAAGTATTTATTATTTATTATTTTTTTATTTTTTTTATTAACTTTTATTTTAGATTCTTACAATTCTTATAAAAATAATAATTAGTTTATTTTTTTTATTATTATTTTTTTTAATATTAATTACTATTTTTTGGGAAGGGGTTTTTTTTTAAATATGTATATTATTACTTTATTGCCATTTTTAAAATGATGTATGCAGTTTATTTGTGATTATATATTTGACGTCTAGTTTTTATCTGTTTTTGTCTATATTTTATCGAGGTTTGTCCAGTTTTCAGTTTTTTTTTTTATTTAAATTTAACTGCATACATTATTTTGAAGATGGCAACAAATTGTTTAAATATATTAGTAAATATTTTTATTTATTATTTAAGATTTATTAATAATATTACGTATACTTTAATAATTTTTTTTATAATTTTATATAAAATAATTTATATAGTTTATATAGAATTTTAATAAGTAATTTAAAAATATTTATTTAATATATTTTTTTATATTTCTTTAATTAAAGTTTTAATTTCTCCTTTTTTTATATTATGATAGTCCAAAATAATTTAAATAGTATATATACTAGAAATTATCTGATTTGATAAAAGAATTATTTAAGTAAAATCCCAAATTTAATTATAGTATTCTAAATTATTTTGGTATTTTTTTTTTTTTTTTTTTTTGCAAGATAGTGCAATTTATGAGTTTATTAGTTATATGGAATTACGGATTTTTCTGCTATAAGCAAAACTAATCTATTAAAACTCTGAACCGGTTCCCCATCCTATAGAATTATTTTGGTATTTTATATAGTAAATTATATATAAATTAAATGAATTACAACATTTTAAATTATAATTATAATATTCTAAAATAATTTAGATAGTATATATAATTTTTAATATACTTTTTATATAAAATAAAAAATAAAATAAAAAATATCAATATTATCATTAATGATTTTTACTAATTTGATTTTTTAAATTAAATTCTATAAAATTAATATTAAATTAAATAATTAATTACACATTTTTTTTTTTGAAAAAGAAGAATTAGTTATCTTTTATAATACTTTGTAATAAAATATATATTAAATTTTTTTTATTTTATATAAATTTATTTTTATTTTTATATACTTATAGTATATTTAATAAGTTTATTAAAATATATAACAAATAGAAAGTATAAAAGTCAACTATTATAATACTTTAATATTATTAACTATCAAATTACTTATTGTACTCTATATATACTGTTAGATGAAAATTTAGTAGACAAGATTTGTTTGATTGGTAATATTTTTATCTTAAAACATCTGGTTTTTCACTTTTTATATCTATTTGAAATTTTACAAAATCTATTGTACTATATAGTTTTCCACTATATCTGTATTACTATTATATTATAATTAAAATCTAAAAATAATATTAATTAAATTCCTTTATAATTCTTATAGGATTTTTCACTTTTTGTAAAATAGTATATTAGTTTTATTAAATTGCATTCAGGTTGTGAAAGCCATTTAAATCTTTTGGATATTTATTATAAACTACTTATAATCCTTAAAAAAAGATAGTACTATCTACTATTGAATATAATATATTTCAAAAAATTAAATATAAAGAGTAAGACAGATATATTAGATCTAACTAATAATATTCAAAATAACTAATTATATATTAGACCTAATCAATAATATTCAAAATAATTAATAGCAGATTTCTGTTAATTATTTTAAATTAATAATATTTTAAAATAAAAAAAATACTAATTATATCAACCTTTTTGGCTTTTTATTTGACTAATTTATAAAGTTTAATAATACCAACCTTTAAATCTAATTGATTAATATTTAATACTCTTAGCTAAAGATAGAGAAACAATTCTAAACTAGTTTTAGAGTTGATTTTAATTTTAGCAGATTTTAAACTTGAAATAACTTTTAAAACTATTTTAAAAATTAAACAGGAACTAATTTTAAACTAATCTGAAGAAATTACTTCAAATTGAGTTGGCATTAAAATTATAATGATCATGAACTAACTATCATTTAATTTCCAATCAAAATTTTTTTATTACATATTTTATTTGTTTTAAATTTAATGTATGTAACTTATATTTTACTTAGTAAAATTAATAAAATAAAACTGATGAACTGATTTCCATTCTTATTTTCAGCAGAATTCTGCTTATTACTTATAAGATAGATTACTAAAAATTTAAGGTAAAATTTATAATTGAAAATTTTTAAAGATTTTATTACATATAAATAAATTACATTTAAAAAAGAAAATGTTACATTAAATTATTATGATTTTTTTCCTTTTTAAATCAATTAACCACTAGAATTGCTAGTAAAATTACTAGTAAATTTGAAATTTTTTCTAGAAATCTCTATTAGAATCCCTGAAAAATAACCAAAAAAAGAAATCCTAAAATGCTAGAAAAAAAAATAAACTAAAAGGAAAGTTATAATACTTTCAGAAAATCTGAAAAAAAAACTGGGAAAAATAGAAAAAATACTAAGTCTCTACTTCTCAAATATCAGCTGATAATAATGAAAAAATCCACTTCACAAGTAGCCATCCTTATTTCAACTAGTACTTTGCAGAGAAACCTTTACAACAATTCCAAAAATAAAAAAACTAATAGGAAAACTTTACATTAATGCAGTATTTAATGCCCAGTAGCCACTCAGTATTTATATAAATTTAATATATGTGTAAAGAAAGTAATATTGTAATATAATAAAGTCACATCTATAAAAAAATAATAATTATAAAAATTAACTATACATATTAAACAATTATTCTATATGTAAATTTATAAGAAAAAGATATTTGTCTAAGCCTTTAAGGTTAAAAAGGCTAGTTTTCAGAAAAATGCAAAATTTTGATTTTTTAATTTTTTTCAGTTCACTTTACTAAAAGTTTTTGACAAAATTTCAAAATTTTTCATTAACATATTTATTACCGTATTCAAAATTTTTTGCAATCATTATTTTTTAACTCCGGCCAAAATTATAAACCGGCATGTTAAACTCTGGCCAAATTGTAGAGACAATCAACAGTGGTGATATCACTAGTGAGATTTAGTAATACCCAAACTGAAATTTTATAATTTATAATTTGTAATAGCATTTTTTTATTACGCCATACATTAACAAGAAAGATATCAATTTACATATATATGTAATAAAGTAAAGAATTATTATCAAACGGAAGCTTGTAGAAATTTTCATACTTCATAGAAAGAATACTTTTAGTCAGCTAATTATTATCATTAATGAATGGAATAATAGAATTATAAATATTTTAATTCAACGAATATATATACAGTCACATGATTTAACTTTTTTTTCTAATAAATATAAATAATATTCCCGATAATATTTTGCTCACAATTTACAAACATATTATTGTAATTCTTCTTGTTCTTGTATCAAACTCTTTTTTGTATGTTCCTCGATGTCATTGGCTTCCCAAGGATAAACCAACCAGCGATCAGGTGTTTCTCTAGCTGCATAATATCTACCTTCCTCTATTATGGAAGGGTCAGGAAATTCCATTCTTTTCTCTTTCTTTTTATTATGAAGAACGAATACAGCAAATTTTGTTTCAGGAGCAATGCATCCAGGATTTTTTTGTAAAAATTTACGTTTCTCTTCTTCTATATCCTTGGAAAGTTCTTGTACTGCGTAAGCAAGTGTGGTTCTAGTATCATCGACTTCATCTACAATAAGAATATTCTTGCCTAACAATGGAGAGGTTGTTGCATGAGAAGGTCCAAAGTGAAGCCATTGGGTTTTTATTACTTGGGTACCAATTATTGCTTGAGAATCGTCAGTTGACAAGTTATAGGAACCAAGATCCTCATAAAGAGAGAGGCCAATTGCTTGAATCGGAATATTTTTATTATTGGCTCGTTTTAAAAATGTACGCTTTTTGTCCCAAAATAAGAATGAAAAAAAAAAATGTAAGAAATTGACAATGAAACATAGATTCATATACTTAACTAAATAAATACGAACGCAATAGCAAAAGTAATGTTATAAAGAAACGAACAAATTTAAAAAACGGTCTGTTATAATAAATTTTTTTTTTAAAATTAAAAAGTCATATTATCATAAACAAATATATATATTACCAATATTCTAGCGGGTATGAAACCACCACCGCCTATTGCAATCATGAGGTCGGGCTTAAAATCGTCATTTATTCGATAACGTTCAACTGATTCTTTTACGAGTTGGTGAACCCGGTTGTAGGAGATATAAAGCTTGGTGTCCTTTGCCATGCTGTTTCCTATACTAGGAAAAGAAAATTATATCGTTTTTTAACCTATATCCTATAGGAGGTAAAAGAGTAAATTTTACGATAAAGAAAAATATAATTTTGAAAAAGTTGAGTAAAGATCACTGATTAGTGATTACTGATAAAAATTGTGTTAATTAAGATCTTAGATCGATTACGTAAGGAAAAAAAAAAATTGTCATCCATATAAAGTTAAGAAAGATTTGCCAATCAGGAACTGAAATTAGAGAATGGTTCGCAAGAGTAAGTTTTGAATTTTTGAAAAGCATGAGAAATTGTTAATTTGGAACCTTAATTTAATAATTCAATTATGCAGAGGCCAAAAGTAAGCGCATGACATGCGCAAGACGGTATAAAAATCAAAAAAATATTAATGAACATAAAAGGAAAGAAAGGAGAGAAGCAAGAAAGAATCCTAAATCTCGTAGTATGTAATAAAAATAGTACATTTTATTTAAATTGCATAATAATTTTGATTGTGTTATAGAACTGAAAAAGGATCCTGGTATTCCAAATCTATATCCGTTTAAAGATCAACTCTTGAATAAAATTGAGCAACAGAAAAGAAAAGTATGAAAATTCCTGAATTATTTTTTTAATGGTCTGTCTTATGTATTAAAGTATATCTCTACACTTCAAGCTTGAAGATGAAAAGCAGCGACAAAAGGATGCACGAAATTCCTTATTCAATAAGAATCGTAAATTAAATTTTGCATCACTATCTGAAGATGCATCTAAGCGAGATGCAGAATTCGACAATGATCATGTTTCTGAAGAAGAGGGAATATCAACAGCTATAGATGCGGCCGTCGTTGGACAGAAAGATAATTCTCGCAAAGCATATTACAAAGAATTTCGTAAGGTTCTTGAGGCAGCTGATGTCATTTTAGAAGTATTGGACGCTCGTGATCCTTTAGGTTGCAGAACTAAACATATTGAAAAAATGATACTAGAGAGTGGATCTACTAAAAGGGTCATTTTAGTGTTAAATAAAATCGGTAAGTTTAGCATGCATATTATAAAGCAAAATTATTTTATTTATTTCAAAAAGTTCAATTCACAAAGCGTCCTTAAATGTTAGATCTTGTTCCCAGGGAAAATATAATGCAGTGGCTTATATATCTCCGTAAAGAACTTCCAACAATTGCTTTTAAGTCCTCTACTCAATCACAGAGAAAAAATCTTGGTCATGTTTCTGCCTCGGTATCTACTGCATCAAATAAAATGTTACAACACAGCAATGAGTGTTTGGGTGCTGACATGCTCATCAAGCTTCTTAAAAACTACTCTCGAAATTTAAATATAAAAACTTCAATTACTGTTGGAGTAATCGGAATTCCGAACGTTGGAAAATCTTCTATTATTAACTCCTTAAAACGTTCTAAAGTTTGTGATATAGGCGCAACTCCAGGTTTAACAAAATTCGCACAAGAAATTCATTTGGACAAGAATATTAAATTGTTAGATTGTCCTGGAATTGTATTCACTCGTGACAAAAATGCGGAAATTTTATTAAGGAATTGTATCAAAATTGAATTGTTAGATGATCTCATTTCACCTGGTATGTATATACGTTTAAGATAAGTGGAAATTTTATAGTTTAATCATTCATTAATAACTTTTTTTGTAGTTGAATTGATTGTTTCACGTTGTAAACCGGAACAACTCATGATAAGGTACAATGTCCCAATGTTCAGGGATGTTAACGAATTCCTTTTACATCTTGCCCGCCAAAGGGGTAAATTAAAGCATGGTGGTATTCCCGATATTGATTCGGCAGCAAAGATCGTTTTGCAGGATTGGAATTCTGGTAAGATACCATATTATACTATTCCACCAGTGATTGACAAAAATAATGCTATCCTTGATAGTACTATTGTTTCAACATGGAGTAAAGAATTCAATTTGAATGAAACGTGCAATGAAGTAGAAGATCAAAATATTTTAAGTGGTTCAAAGAGCGAGAGTGATTTTGACAGGGTAATGGTAGACTCGGATGAAAGTAACAATTAATTTATGAAAATTCTGTTCAAAATTTAAATTTTTAATAAACTAATATATATATATATATATATAGAGAAATAAAGTCAGTAATAAATAATTAATAAGTAGGGATAAATAATAATCTGCCATATATTAGATAAACCAAAACTTTTGCTAAATGAACAATTCCAAAAAAGCTAAAGTTTGAAATCCTAATATAAGTATGTCTTAAATGTTTCTGGTTATTTTCAAAGTAGATATTTTGATATTTAAAGTCCATTTTATCATCTTGCGGAGCAGGTAAAAATATACTTATCACTCTTTTTTTTACTGCATTACAAATAACTAGCTGCATTACCTATAAAATTGTTTTTCATTAAAAAGCTAAAACTTTAATTATAAAATGATTTATTATTTATAATATTAAACAAAGTATTGCATAGAATAGGATCTTACAACCTTATTGCTCCTTTAATTAAGTTTACTAAGTTTCCTAAGTTATAATTAGCCAATTAAAATTGGTCATTTAAATTTGTAATATTAATAAGTTAGTTAATAGATTGGTAAGTTATATAATTAATATTGAAATTAATTGAACTATAAATTTGAAATAATTTGTATATATAAATTGCAAATAAAATTTATAAAATGCAAAATCATAAATAACTTTTAATCTAATAATTAGATATAAAATTTATATCATTCAAAAAGATGAATCAAATGGTTGTATTGTTGTAAAATCATCTCTTTATAATTAATGTTAATAAAGTTGTAACTTAAAAAGATTTAACAAATATTAATTTTAGAAATTGATTTAGTAATTAAATTTTAATAAAATTTATATTATTAGATTTATTTTAATAAGACAAATTAAATAGTAGTAAAATCATTTCTTTATAATTAATGTTAATGGAATAATTATAGCTTAAAAAATATTTAATAATTATTAACTTTAAAATGATCTAATATTAAAATTTATTATTAAATTTAATTTATTAAAACAAATTGAATAATGGTAAAATTATTTTTCTATAGTTAATATTGATAGAGTTAAAATTTTTAATTATAGTTTATATTAATTTTGACTAGAATTGCAATTTATACATGTATTATTAAAATGTAATTATAAGATATTTTTTATATAATTATATTTCTTTATAGTTATTTAATATAAACTATTCTAGAGTTGATTGTATTTGTATATAGCTAAACTGTTATATTAAATTATTAATATATAATGGATTTTAGTAGATTGTAATGCTAGTTAATTATTTAATTTTTAATTTACATATGCTAAATAAAATTCAGTATAAGCTACTGAACCTAAAAATTGTAGTTTATTTTTGCAAGAAAATTTTCCTAAACTTCAAGTTAATTTGGCTAACATTATAATACTAATCTGAATTATAATATTTTCATATTTATTACTATAAAAGAAACAGATCGGTATACATTATATCATGAAATAATATAAAAATTGGTATATTAGGATTTTTTAATAATTGTAAAATGGAAGAATAAAAACATCATTATAGGTATGTTATATAGAAGTTTTAACTATAAAGTTGCTTAAATAAAAAAAAATGATAATGATGATATTGAATAGTAATATAGAATTTTTTTTTATTCTAGTTGGAATTAAGGTGAATATTACTATAATTACCCGAAAAAGCAGATAAATAAACTTGACTAAATAACAACCATTAAATGTATATATATCCGACATTCATTATCCCGACACTTATTATCCTTTTTAAAAAAGAAAATTGCTAAAACTCACCAGTACTTAGAAAAGCAGATCATGTGTAACAATGTGATCATAATTTATTATTAGATAGTGAAAAGTAGGTTGGCGATCGGTTGTGTAACGGGAGAGTGCCACAGCAATTTCTATCCCAGTGTTACTGAATTAAAGTTAATTTTAGGAAGCAAACCATAACTAGATAATATATTAACAAACCATTAAAAGTTCCTACTTATAAATATGGGCAAAAAGTCAAAGGATAAGAAATCTCATAAACATAAGCGCAAGCACTCGCGTAAAGATTCTTCTCACATTGGTAAGAAGTCATTTCTATTATTATAAAGGCTTAAATTAGAAACTTCGCGCGAGAATTGGAAGAATTGCAACGAATATAAAATTGCTTCGCGTACACTTTTAAAGTATCAGTAATTTCGATCAAAACATGTAGACCAAAGAAAATACTATTATGAAATTTTAGTCTTGGTAACTTTAGGAAAAAAAAAGGTTCTCTACTGATTTACAAACTTAAGTGCTTATTTGAATATTTCCAAAATATGTTTTAGAGCCTAATGAACAAACAAGAAACGAACAGTCCCGTTCTGAGCAACCTCGTACGAAGCTTAGACTTTCGTACAGGCGAGATGATAGTTCAGGGGTAACAAATAGTTCTACAAATAACGATGACACTGAAATTCAAAACGTTAACGGGGAATATCAAGACAATGACCAAATTGACGTGGATAACGCAACTGTCTTTGCGTCAAGACTAGAAGAACCTCCTCGAAGAACAATATTAAGATTGAAATTTAACCCAGATTCATCAGTTAAGAAGAGTAAAAAGCGTAAACATAAGCATAAGCGTCGCGAAGTGATTGATGTTGCTTCGTCGCATTCTCATGAGAAGGTCGACAAAGGGAAACGCAAAATACGAGATTCAATTGAGGAATCAATTCATGAAGAGAATGTTAGTCCTGATGATAATGATAGTTTTAGATCTCATCCTCGGAAGAAAATCAAACGTCAAAAGGATAATTACGCAAATATTGAAAGTGCTAACAACAAGAAACTGTCAAATGATGCAATTGTGGGTACGAATGATGAATTAGATATAAACTTAACAAGTGGCATTAATGCAACTACTGAGAAAGCTACAATTTTGAGTAAAAGGAAATTAAAAGGAGTAGATAGTGTGAATTTTAGTAAAGTAGATATCGAGAAAGCCGTTTACATTGCAGGGTCAAATAAAGTTGACGAGAAGTTATCAGCTCCGAATTCAGCTAATCAAGAACAGAAAAGTGATGAAGGTACTAATAAACCAAAAGAGGCTGTTGGTGAGAAGCCTCTTGAGCACGTGGAAGCAGGACCTTCAATAACTATGCAAGATCGCAAGGAGGCTTCTGTTGTCACGTCCACATATCAACTTAGAGAAAAGCGTTCGTATCCACCTAGTTTCAAAGATTCTAATAAATCAGATGATTCACGCCCTTCAAAAGTTCACAAGGTCTCTTCAAAGACTGTACAATCACAAGAGAATTCTTCCGTTATAGCATCGTATAAAAGTTCTGAAATCAATATGCCATTACAAGTCACTGCAAATAAAGATCCTGATATTACCGAAAACTTAAATGGCAAATCAATAATAAAAGATGTAACTATATATCCTGCACCATCATCTACAAAATCTGGTCCCGTACGTAAGCTTGGACGGCCTCCAAAATCACAAGAAACTCAACGTACCAACACTCAACGTAATTGGACATGGCAGAAAAAGAAGAAAGACCTAAAGACGATTTTAAATAAGTTATTGGACTCTTTCGAAAAGTAATGTATAATTTGAATCTTATTTTAAATTTCTAATAAATATATCATCAACGATCATTTTTTTGGTAAACCAGGAAAGATGCGTACGGGTTTTTTTTAGAGCCGGTTGATACAAGCATTGTTACAGATTACTCAACAATTATTAGTAATCCCATGGACCTTGGCACGATGCGTAGAAAGGTAAACAACAACGAGTACACAGACATTGACACATTCAAGGTTGGTTGTATTACAATACTTTTTTTAAAGTCTCAACATTATTTACCCATTTTTAATGAATTATTATTGACACTTTGCAGAACGACCTTGCACTTATTTGTAATAATTGCAAGACATACAATTCTCCCGAAACTCTATACTATAAAAGTGCTGAGAAACTTTGGACTTTTGGCGAAAAAGCTATTGAGCGAGAAAGGGACAGCATCTTATTAGAAGAGGAAAAGGCAAAGGCCTTGAAAGGGTTTATTAGTGTCGAAGATGGTAAAAAGGTAGGAAAATTTCATACAATGATATTCCGCAATTGTTCTATGGTCTCTGATTTTAATTTTACACGAATAGGCTACCACTAATTTTGTCACTAATGCTGTGTCCAGTAGAGGTACTCCTTGATTCATTATGATTTGCGTAGCGTGATTAATATAAATATTTACGAGTTAATATAATTTTAGGATCCTCTGTTTCAAGACCTATCAGACAACCTCGAAGAACAAGGCGAGGAGAACCTCGCAAGCTATTTGCGCCAGATGGTTCAGTTTTGCCTTGTGAATATATACATATTTCATTTATTCTTTGATCATATTACTCTTTATTATTTTTTTTTAACAATGGTTTATTGTTTTAGCTGGAAATCCCGAGGTTCTTTTGCCAAAGGTACGACCTTTTGGTGAGACTCCGTTGCTTACCGTTATATCATCAAAAGCCCAACGTCCAGGTAAAATTTTCAAATCTTAATTTTATTTTGCTAATAGGTTTTCTATAATCTAATAACTGATTTTCAATAATTTAGCACGATTTGAAGATTACGGACCGTTTGCAACATTGGGAGTGGAGGCACCCTATTATTCTCCTTCTGAAAAAGAGTATTTCTATAATATATATGGTGACGAAAGAGGATATGCGTACGCTCAAAGTATAAAAAATTTTGTTAAGGATATGGGTGATGAAATGAATGCGCAAGTTGACAATTTCCTTAACAAATTAACTCGGGGAACACACAATATTGACCAGTGTGTTGCGAAAATGGTTTCAGGAGTAGAATCTGTTGATACGTTCGCTATTTTAGACACTGAACTTGGCCCAGTTGATGTGAGACAAGAACTCAATAGAATCCAGCGTCTCCCTGAACTTAGGAGACAAAGGGACGAGTTGGAAATGTGGCAAAATGAAAAAATCGACTTGAACTCTTTAGTAAACGATAAGGAAGCCAACTCTATGTTGACCGTTCTCGAAAACGCAAGTTTTCAGGAGATGTTGGACCTCAATGCCAAGTCTCTTGCCGAGTTAATCTCGGCCAATGAAAATGCTGTTGACTTGCAAGGCTCACAGGAACAGAAACAACTTGGTATGTTTATAATAAAATTTAATTTATTCGTTATTAATTAACACTATATTTTTATAATTCAGTCGATGATATACAGCATCGTTTATTTCAACTTGCTCAACATGCACCGAAAGACGAAATCAAATCGGGTGCAACGCCTCCTATGCAATCATATGTGATGCCGGCTTCCATGGCTGGTCCGCAGGCAACAAAAACATTGCTGCCAAAACATACAATGTCGGGCGTGGAGCAAAATGATCCAATTAGTGCATTGGCGCCGTCTTTGCCAGAATTTCCTGCAATTAGCAAAAGCAGAACAAAACCGTGCAATTATAATCCTGGTATGTATTTTTTCATCATAGGATTAAAGTTCAATACGAAATTTGAACTCCTATCTTTATTTTTAGCCGGAAAATGTGCCAATTGTCAAACCACCGATACTCCTGGGTGGCGAGCAGGAGAAACCCCCGACCAAAAATTGTGTAATGGTTAGTATATTATTTGCTTACCTTATATATCATTTTTTATTTCTCTAAATATTTTTTATATAACGTTTTTATATTTTATTAGCATGCGGATTATATTATGCAAAAAATAAGTCTCACAGGCCTTCAAACCTGTGGGCAACTTCATCACGTTGAAGTGGTTTTTTTTTTTGTTTCTTTACAATTCGACCTTTGTAAATTTTTTTTTTTTTTTTTTTTTAAAAAAAAAAAGTAAATAATAAAAGACTAATTTCGTACAAGAATAAAATTGTAGATAGTATATTTTAAACCTCTAGAGATTGTGTAACAACTTAAAGATTATGCATAGTTATAAATGCGCTAAGACATGATGCGCGATGCGCGAAAACGAATTATTAAACTCGTGCATAGAAGATTGGGCACGAGATTCCACGATTGCTTTTAAGTTTTAACTACTTTCTCAGCCTTACATCCTGTCGTGCGACATTTGAGAGGACAAATGTAGTATGTGTGGCAATTTATTGTGACCTGTATAATTTCCTAGATTCACTGTGAGAATCAATCCTTTGGGTTGTAATTGAAAAACTTATTCTCGAATAAACCGATATGGAAACCACTAAAACCGCTGATGCTGGCTCTAAGAATTGGTTAAAGGAGAGGGCTGCTATATGTAAGTTTTTGATAATTGCTGCCCTCTTCCTTGGCCAAACTTTTGGCCCGTTTTTTACCCAAGATAACGCGAATTTTGAAACCCCAATGCTAATTATAATTTATAATAACCAGCTGCTGCTCATAGACGTCAGAAAACCGACCCTGCTGCAGCTCGTCTTATCGAAAAAGCCGATCAGTTACATAAGGAACGTACACAGAAAAACTTACGTGAAACGGTAGATGAGGATGATGAGGCAGTGGATGAAGTCCCGGAAACTACTGTGAAAAAGAATGAAGGTAGAGACCGTCGTACGAATGTGAAAAGTTCATTTCGCCGCAGTGTAGTGTTTTCATCCCCACTAAATTATTCGTCGACGCCAGCTGAGGACGAAGATCTCGAGGATATTGATGCAATTGTCAGTGTACCCCCACCTGAAGAAATAGTTGTTAAAAGTAAGTACAACATTTTAAGCAATTGATTGAATATCATTCATGCAGGGCGTTCTGTACGACGATTAATTAATATTTTATTTAAAAACAAAGTTGCCCAGAAACCTGCCGAGGAAGATACAATTGCATCAAATCATGGCAAAGAAACAAGCGAAGATGTATACCGTTCATTTGCCGAGTCAGTTCTAGAACAAGGACTAACAACAAAATCTGAATTGGAATTATCATTTGATCTAAAGCCCGAAGATATAAAAATCAAGGAGGAGGAAGAGGAAGAGGAAGAAGAGGAAGAAGAAGAGGAAGAGGAGGAGGAGGAGGAGGAAGAGGAAGAGAAGGGAGAGGAAGAAACTCAAGAGGGTATGATCAAAACTGAACATGCCTAATCTGTAATTATGTAAATTATAGAATGATTTCGATCGGTCTTATCTTGGTTACTTTTTGATAAAACAAGCAGATTTGAATGAAGCTGATATTACAGAAGAAAAGGTACAAGAGAAATTAAAGGATGCAGATGTAGAAATTAATCATAATGAAGAAAATAAAGGTGATGTAAAAGATCAAGGTAAAATGAATTAAAAAATTTTCTCTATTTATATTTTATAATTCATAAATTCTTGCGAATTATTTTATTCTGGATTTTTTAATTCTTAAATTTATAGAGGATGATAAATCAGAAGAATCAACATTAACGAAAGAAGTAGATGTAGATACGGTTCCAAAAAACAATGACTAGTAATAATATACTTTTTTTTAAATGTATTGTATTGTAATTTTGTGTTTAACTAGACACCATTATGTTTATATAGAGCGTTGGGTTTTTATTATGTATTATTTTATTATTTTATTTTATTTCACTTTTCGGATGTATCGAGTGCGAGAATCATGGATTGTTTCTTCTCAAATTTTATCTTTATCTCGAGCTATATATTATGAGTCATTTATTAATTTAATATAATGACATATTTCTCTTATTTTCAAATTTATGTAATAGTCAAAGCATGCTCTAATCATTTTAAATGTCAGTGATATTAAAAATTTTTGTTCAGATTAAGATATTTGTATTTTGTTCCTAAAAAGTTTATAGCATTTTTAGATAGGAAAATGAAAATGAAATATGTCAAATACAGCAATAGTTATACATATTTTAGCTAAAATTTTACATTTTATTTTTCACCCAGATAGCAAAAAATGGTATGACCTGCACTTTATTAAAAAATCTAATCTTAATTAGACCTGTTTCGTGCTATCTAAAAGATTGAATCTAACCTTGTCTGAAATCTATTTTAATAATTAAGCGATAAGACGATACGATTCTGAATAAATAATATCTATTCTATCTTCGAAGAAAATTTTCTTATTATTTTATTAAAAATAGGGGGAAATGAAACAGTATTACGATATCACTTTACATTTAGGTATTTATATTTTACTTGAAAAAAAATTATTTATTACTGCGGTTAAAGTAATAATAAGGCTGCCTGCAGTTTTTATTCTATATTTTACATATCAATACATTATAAATTATTAATATACAACATATCATATTATTAAATTATAATAACTATTTTGTTCAATTGATCGAAAATAAAAATACAGTGGTACTGATATTGCAAGATTAAGGAGCGCGACGATACCAATAAAATAAAGAATAATTTTTTCTGTGCGTGTAAATTCTCCAGCATTTGAATTTAATGGATTTTCTTCTTCAACTGCAACATCGATCGCCCCTTTGATTATTTAAATATATAAGTATGTTTACAACTTTTTTTAGAAAAAAATGGACTAAAAAAAACAGCTTTTACCTTGAGATGATGAAGAGCTAACAGAATCTTGATTGAAGTTGGATTCTGCAGTTTTTGAGGCTTGCAATCTAACCATTGCTTTCCTTAATGATCGTTTGCCAAGTATAGACAAAGCAATCACACAACATGTTACGAAAATAATATTCATTGTAATAATGACAATATCTAATCAAATAAAATAATAAAGTTAGATAGTTTGCAAATTGCGAAGTATGAACTTATTTTTTTCGCCTATACCTTTATTTTCTAATTTTGGTTTATCGATTAAACTCAAATTCTTTACCAACGATCCGATCCAAACAGCATTAAAAGTTCCAGGCAAAACACCAAGAACAGTTGCCCAAAGGAAGGGGAAGAGCTAAATTATGAACAATTAGGAATTAAGGTTTGTTCCACAATCATAATGCTAATTTCATAAATTCTTTTTTTGATTTGTGAAAATTTCTTGATTTACTTACGTCTATAGAACTCACTGAAAAGAAATAACTTATCAGATTAAATGGTATAGGAGTCAATCGTAGCATTACAACAATTTTCCATCCTATGTGAATTAAGGTGAATTAAAGTACCGTCAGATTAAATAGTTAATTTATAATTTCAAAATAAAACGTGTACCTTCGTCTGCTATAACACTATTAAGTGCTGTAAACATTGGTCTCTTTTCGATTTGAGTTTTTACCCAATCCGAGAAAATGTATCTTCCGAAAATAAATGTACCGAAAGCTCCTAAAATATCTCCAATTATAATGATGGCACCTGCTAATATTGCAGGTTTGAACAAAAATCCTGCTGCAATGCTTATTATAGATCTTAAAATATAATACAACTGATTTAATAATGCGTTATGATATGCTTTATTTCAAAGAACCTTAAATACTTTAAAGTTAGATCAATTTACCCCGGCAGGAATAACCATACACAAATAGTGTAAATAGTCAAATAAATCAAGATTCCATATTTCTTATGTTTTTCGATAAGTTCTAGATAATCTTTGATATGATCTTGAATTCTAAAAACCTAACATATTAATCGATGTTAGAACAACAGGGAAAAACTAAAAACGAAAATACTAAATATTCAATAATACTTACAATCAAAAGAACAACAATTAACACAATAAACGCCACCAATAAAACTGATCTAATAAAAGCTTTCGAAGTAAAAACTCTTCCTCGTTTATTTTTTAAACCTGAACTAGAAGTAGTTTGTTTAACTTGCTGTTGCTTTTGTGAATTTTCGTCTGGTGGCAATAAACGGCTTGTTTCATCATAGTTTTCGTTATCTTCTTGATAGTCTGTTTGTATATCATTAATTACCGGTGACTGAACCTGAATTGAAAGATCGTCAGTCGCTTCTTCGTTTTGCGACATTTTTGAAATATTGCGTAATGTAGCAAATTACAACTCTATAAATAATGTTTTTTAACCGCATGTAATTGCCTTTTTTAGATTCTGTGATTTAGTCTGTAATACTCTGTATCCATGTTATACAAAAATATTTACAGTAAAAATATAGATTTTTATTATGAAAGTAATGATCAGAAATCTGAATTTTTATAATTTTGTTTAATTACAGAACACTATTAATTGGAGTACTTTCTACGATTGTAATATATATATTGAAACAAGAGTGTATAAAAAATCAATGCAAATCTAATTAATTACCTTTCTCAATTTATTTGAAATGAAAGTGCAGAATTAGTCATTTTTTTTAGTTTTTTAGGGTACAAGGCGCAAAATTCCACTTAAAAAAGGATAAATAATCTGATGCCCCTGTTTATTATTATGACAAATAAGGATAAAAAGCCAAGAAGTACGTCACGCACTGGGATTAAAATTTTTAAAATAGTTAGAATACGACTTCGCTAACAACAAAATGTAATGTATAAGCCGGTTTTTAAAGTTTCATAAAAGAAAAATAAATCTTTTCCGATGTCTAATAACTTGCATAAATCAGAATCATTATCTTCAAATACTAATTGCAATAATAACCTACCTAATTATAATAACCCGCCTAAATATCGTAGAACTCAGTCTGATTTTTACTCTACTCAACCAGGTTCCACGTCAAATTCTCGAGTAAAAAGTGTTCGAAGAAGCACAACCGGATCGTTTTACGATAAAAGTTCCACTACTCTTTTTTGGGATTTGGTTGGTAGGGAAAATTATACTACTTCACTGAACAATTCTCCTGTTCTCTGTAATAGCTCCACACCAACAGAGGAAGATTATTTTGGTATTGCTACGTATTTTGTAAATAAAATTGGTTCATGGTCTTGGCGATCCAAACTATCTCCCCGAACTGTACCCACTATGATTCCCAAAAGCGGCGATAACTCAATTAATTTATTAACAACAAAATTTAAAGGATTGCGCTCTTCTCCTACAAGTATTACTAGCATGTTTTTAGGTAGTTTAGATAAAAATACACAGAAAAATAGCACCCCTTCTGTACCACCACAAGAACCAGAACCAAATAAATCATTGATGACTCCTATTGAACTTCATGGTAGAAAAGCAGACACTGAACCGGTTTTAGATACTGATATGGCTGAACAGGTATATTAATTAACAGGTAAATAAACTTAATAAATAAATAAATCAACGCTTAATGTGTTAAAATTTAGATACGTCAACGACTTCCAAGACGTGTACGATTGGCTCCAAGTTGGAATTTACTGTATAGTCTCGATCAGGATGGCACAAGTATGACTACAATGTATCATAAAGTGAAAGATAAAGGACCCTTAATATTGGTAATCAAAGACATGGATGAGCAGGTTGATATATAAACCAATTTTCTTGCCTATTTTGGAAATCTCTTGATAGTTTATTTTTCTAATTACGTAGGTTTTTGGTGCGTTTGTCAGCGAACCATTAAAACAACGTCCTTCTTATTATGGAAGTGGAGAATGGTAAGAAACTTTACGTGTTTTTTTTCAAATGTGATGTATATTTATGATAATTATTTTCCTCAGTTTCTTGTGGAAATATGTAAATGAGGGTGAGACATTACCACCCAAAGTTAAATTTTATATGTGGACTGGAAGGAATGAATATATGATATTAAGTGAACATGATTATTTGGCGATTGGTGGAGGGTAAGTAAATAATATTAATTTTGTTGACATGTCTATCTCTCCGGTTAATATTTAAAATATTCTTAAACTAACAAATTAATTTTATAGCGATGGAAGGGTTGGTTTGTGGATGGATTCAGATCTTGAAAGAGGATCTTCAGCAAGATGTGACACTTTTGATAATGAAGTCTTGTCTTCAACTCCTGAATTTATTTGTATGGGGTTTGAAGTATGGGGTTTCAATTGAATTGGATTTTCTACTTCTCCGTATTAATATTTATTATATAAAACAGTAAATTATTTAACAAAAGTACCAATTGTATTTTGTAGATTAACTTTATTATATTTGTATAAAATTTATTATTAAAATTATTTTTTAGCTTGTAAATAATAAAACTTTAATCCATTAGCAATCACGTGAGCATTAACCAATCAAATATATTTCTCGGTACTTGACAGTTGAATCACTAATTTTTCCAATTCTTGATAATTTTCAATCATACTATCATAAATTTTTGTATTTTCAAAGTCAGGTTCAGCAACAAGTGAGAAATTCTCTTCGTTATAATTTGAATTAATTATACTTTTGCACTCTCGTTTTAAAAAAGCCGTTCTGGCTTTGATGGCAGCACCCATAGAAGCAGAATTTTCTCCTTGGTTTCTCCAAACCTGAGCTCCAAAAACATCCGCTAAAATTTTCACAATTTGATCGTTTTTACTCGCACCTCCCACAACAATTATTCTTTGTATCTTTTCCTTTTTCTCATCATCATCTTTTAATAACTTATCTATTCTAAGTTTCATTGAAAGAAATTGTGATTCAATAACTGCTCTTACATTATAATTTTCATCTACGAATTCTTTTACTAATTTGTTACTATCAAATTTATAAATTCCTTTTGCAAATGGAACTATTTCTTGAAAAAGGAAATAAAATCCTATTTGTGATTTAATTGGCTTAGATGAATTTAAAACATTGTTAAATCTTTCCCACGTCACATCTTTGGTATAAATATCACGTATATGTTCACGTGTCAAACTTCCATTTTTATAGCATAGCATCGAAAAATAGGACGCTGGTATTATAGGGTGACATAATGTGTGAGATTCTGATGTTGGACATGGTTTAGAAGTATAAAGTAAAACTGTATCCGAGGTACCAAGAGAGATTACAATATTTCCGGGTTTAATATTAAAAGATATTAGTGTGGCCGGGTTGTCGCCAGTAAACGGAATTATTTTACAATCTAGTAATATATATATATATAAACAAATTGGGCAGATTAGATAATATTCAAACAAAAATTTACCTTCACTGAATCCGTATTTTTTAACAAAATATTCGTGCACGTTCCCTAAAATTTTTAATCCGTCGATTTCGGGTTCGTCAAGTTTTTCTTTTAATTTTCCTTCAGCACCACAACTACATATATTCAACAATTTGTCTTCCCATTGTTTAGTGTGAATATTTAATAGATTCATTCCAGAACCGTCTGAAATGTCTATAGGCGCATAATGACCAAGAAATAAAGTAGCGAGAAACGAACTAACTAAAGAAATTCGCGAAGTTTGAGAAAATGCGTTTGGATTTGCTTTGCAAAGCTTAAATAAAGCAATATATAATCACCTTAGTTAAATTCAAACTATATTACGAAAAAAAAAAACTACCTTTGCAATTTGATTTCCAGTAAATCTTTCATATGCCTTGGATCCCGTTAAGTTTGCTAAAACTTCCGCACCACCGATTAGCTTTTCTAGCTCGCGACATTGTTCTGATGTACTTGAATCTTGCCAAGTTGGAGATTGTTGAACTGAGAAAGCGTTTTTTAATTGGTCTACGAGAGGTTTAGAGTGATCAAGTGAAGATAATAAAAATGGAGCATTATGCGACCAATAAATGCTTCCGTGTTGCTATCATTGATAGAAAATGAATTATTGGGAAATTGAATGATAGAGCAACACGTTCCGAAATAATAAATTTACTTGACCAGCTCCTGATATTATCCGAACTTTATGAAATGGGAATTTTTTAGTTTTGAGCTTTTGAAGAAGTATGTCTAATGATTCCACCCACAATAATGTTGGGCAAGCTACAGTCTCTCCATTTGATATTACCCCATTAAGAGTTCTGAATACAGAATTAAGATTGAAAAATCATCTTTTAAAAAAAGAAATATCTTAAATAACATACCCATAATGTGGCAATTCTTTGTCAAAATGTACAGTCTCTTCAAAGACAATTTGATATGTATCTTCAATTACTGTAAGTTTCAATTGTTGAGTTGATAAGTCGAAACCAATATATAAATTGGGTAGATTATCAAGTTTTGACATATTTACATAATACGAAAGAAATTCTCTAGATGTGAGCGTCCAATCGGTAATCAAATCAGCGAGTTTCTATATTTAGTAATTTATGCGTGATCAGATTAATTTTGAATGATAAAATGACACAAAATTAGCCTTATTGAAAATTAATAATATGTTATTTCTCGGTTGATCTTGTTACGAATGTGTCTATCTTTGATTGCTACGATCAAACATTTTCAATAAATATTTTTTTTTTCACTTTTACAATTATTTAATTATTTTTTCTTTTTATTACTGTTACCGCATTCCTTTTATAATTTAGAAATAGAAATAAAATTTTTGGCCATTTGTTGAATACAAACGGTTTAGATTTTTATTTATTTAATAGTAAAATTTCCGTAATGTTCTCTTTAAATAAGTGCTGGCATAGCCCAGCCATTTTCATTCTAATTTGGTTAACTTGTGTTATAATGCCGATATGCTTGGCATCAAGGCCAACACAAGAAGAAGCACAGAAATTTGTAAAGGCTTTGCGTGCTATTTATTTCCCTCGGCCAAATTCGTCTCTTGAAATAAAAGACGAACCTAAACAACCAGAATGCCCACCCTGTTTTAACTGTCACCTTCCTGTTTTTGAGTGTTCTCATTTTACCAGCTGCAATGATTATAATGGGAAATGCACGTGCCTACCTGGTTTTGGTGGAGAGGATTGTTCTAAGCCTGTTTGCAATTCTCTAGCCGACGGAACTAACCGTCGTCTGCGTGGAAAAGATAAAGTGTGCGAATGCTCTGAAGGCTGGGAAGGAATCAATTGCAATGGTTGGTTATGAGCTTTATCAATATTTTATTAAATCAATTATTAACTTGGTAAGCTGATGAGTTTCTTGATTATTTAGTTTGTAAAACTGATTCCGCTTGCGATCCGATGGTGTCTACTAAACAGAATGGCACATGTTATAAGGGAGGGTTGACCGTTTATGAGAATTTCCAAATGTGTGACGTAAAAAGTTTGTAAATTTTTTTTTTTTTTTTTGAATACATTAGTATATAATGTATAACTGAATAAAATATTTTAAACTTCTAGATAAGAAAATTCTTGACATGCTTCCTGATCAACCTCCTCAAGTCACTTTTTCTTGTCACCGCAAGAAAGAGACTTGCGATTTTCAATGTAACTATATTAAAATTTTTTTTTTTAGGAATTTTTTAACTAATTTATTTTTTATTTATTTATTTATTTATTTTTTGTTAATAGTTTGGATTAATCAAACAGAATCATTTTACTGTCACTTGGATGAGTGTTCTTTTGATCAAGAAATAACTCAGGATCAAAATATAACTCAATATAATTGTAAAAATATAAAATGCAAATGTATGGCTGGGGAAATGTTGTGCGGAAAGGATGGTAGCATTGGTATGTGATAATATATTAATTATTTATAAATGAGCTTTGATATAATGTTAATATTTATGAATTTATGCAAGATCTATCCGAGTGGTTAGTAGAAGAAATTAAAGGTCCTGCAGAATTTAAATGTTATAATCCCAGTGACTGTCGATTTTCTGGTATAAACATTGCCATAGATTTGTTTTGATTTGTTTTATCTGACCCGATCTAAATTGATAATTTTATTATTATTAGAACCAAATATGAATGCACTTATTTTGTCAATTTTTGGTGATAAATATATTTCCCTAGATTGTAAAAGTGGTGAATGTCTTCATTATAGCGAAGTTCCAGGGTTTGAAGTAAGTTCCAAAAGTTCAATTTACTAAAGATTGGGCAAGTAAAAATTATTTTTAATGTTTAATTATATGTTAATAGAGACCACGCCAACCAAACAATACAAACATGATAATAGTATCTGTGTTTGCAGTGCTTACATTTGTTGCTGGTATTTTCGGAGGTGAATAATAATATTTATTGGTTTTGACAGAATTGAATGATTTAACTTATTGAGATAAATTTATTTATTTTATTAAGCTGTATTTTACTTGTCTCGTAATTGGGTAACACCATCGTCTAATATTTCTCTTCCTGATGATGAGAGTTCGCATCTCATGGCTAATCATATACCAGCTGAATTACTCTTCCAAGACATCAGTTATTACATTGGTGATAAACAAGTTCTCCACTCAATTCATGGAGTAGTGAAACCAGGAGAGGTCATGGCCATTATGGGTGGATCCGGAGCTGGTAAAACAACTTTCTTGGACATTCTTGCACGAAAGAATAAAGCTGGTAGAATCAGAGGAAAAACGTTAGTTAACGGGCATTTGGTAGATGATGAAACGTTCAAAAATGTGGTTGGGTATGGTATAAGTTTTCGTTATAAATGGTTACTTGCTGTTTTTTTTCTAAATATATCATTATATTAGTTACGTAGATCAAGAAGATCATCTTTTACCTACTTTGACTGTTTATGAGACTATTTTATATTCTGCACTGTTACGGCTTCCACGCGAAATGAGTTTCGAAGCCAAAAATTTTAGGGTTATGGAAACTATGAGTGAATTAGGAATATTGAGAATTAAAGACTCTAGGATAGGTGATGCTGGTAAGAAATAACCAGGAGTTTAACGTACTTCACTTCTTGTGATTTTTGTTGAAATATTGTAAACCTCATTTCAACCTCAACAGTACCAACCGGTTTTCATAAAAACAGGTGCGAGATCAATTTCTGGTGGAGAAAAACGTCGTGTTTCAATTGCCTGTGAATTAGTTACTTCTCCTTCGATTTTATTCCTTGATGAACCAACTTCTGGATTAGATGCATATAATGCATATAACGTAGTTGAATGTCTTGTTACCCTTGCAAGAAATTATAATCGTACGGTTATTTGTACAATTCACCAACCTAGAAGTAATATTTTTGCACTATTTGATCAGTTAGTGTTACTTGCTAATGGTCATATGGTATATTCTGGGGAAGTAAGTAAATGTCACACATATTTTGAAAGCATAGGGCATAAATGTCCTCCTGGTTTCAATATTGCAGACTATTTAGGTAAATAAATTCTTTTATAATCCATTATCATTATTCGAATTTACTAATATTTGTTGTATATTATTAGTCGATTTAACCATGTATGCGGTTAAACCGCGCAATTCTAGCGAAGATCAAGACGAAGATGATGACTCAGAAATTATTGACGGGATCTCCTCAGCTCGTCCGCCTCCAATCTCTTCAGCCGAAAGACGTCCAATGCTTAGAAATCGTGTTTCTATTCATGATATTCAAGATTCAGAATTGTACAGGCCGCAATCACGATTATCAGATCAACAAGAGAATAACGGTGTTTTTGAATTAAATAATCGTGATGTACAAAGTGATGATAGCATTAACATTAATGTGCATAGCGATAGAATGACTGATCACTTGAAAATGTTAGTTGATGGGTACAATAGAAGTATGATCTCTCTTGGCATAAAGGATGAAATTGATCGTGCTGAAATGAAGTGAGTAGAATGATTATTTATTTGTAATTCAACGTTATATTCGCACTTTAATAATTTAATAATTTCGCTATAGTGAACGACGTCAACCTCTATTAGCTTCAAGTGGAGTAAATACTACAATTAGTTCTCATCTTCGCGCCTCATGGTTTACTCAGTTCCGTATTCTATCGGATCGCACATTTAAAAATTTATATAGGAATCCCATGTTAATGCTTACACATTATTGTATTAGTGTTTACTTAGCACGTAAGTAGGGAGCATTGATTTTTAAAAAATTTCTTTAGTTATTTAATCTTTCATTTTTTTTTAGTTCTTTGCGGTTCATTGTTTTATAAGGTTACCAATGATATTGCTGGGTTTCAAAATCGAATGGGTGTGTTATTCTTTATGTGTGCACTATTCGGGTTTGGGTGCTTGAGTTCATTACATGTTTTTGCAGCGGAAAGAATATTATTTGTAAAAGAACGAGCAAATGGATATTATGCTCCGATTACATATTTTTCGTCGAAGGTACATAAGAATAGTTTGTTTCTTTGTATTTGTAAATGGACAACTAATTTATATTTATAATTGGCTTTATTAGGTTTTATTTGATATTATTCCATTACGTGTAGTGCCTCCTATCCTTATGGGAGTTATAATATATCATATGGTAGGATTAGTTGATGGTACCGCAGAATTTTTCAAATTCTTGCTAGTTCTGGTTTTATTCAATCTCACTGCAGCAAGCATATGTCTATGTATCGGTATTCTCTTTAAGGAATTGGGAGTGGCAAGTTTATTGAGCAGTTTAGTTATGTTATTCAGTATGTTATTTGGTGGTTTACTTTTAAATAAGGGTATGTTAAATTTTTATATAAAATTATTTGCATGTTAAATCATAAAAAAAATATTTATATCTTTTGCTTGTTTTGATCAGATTCAATTCCAGAATATTTGTCTTGGTTAAAAGATCTTTCATTCTTTAATTATGCATTTGAAGCATTAATTGTTAATGAAGTAGTTTATTTAACTTTAACTGAAGAAAAATATGGATTACAAATTGATGTAAGTAATGAGTATGTTTGATGGGAAAAATGAGAATTATTCTAACCAATAAAAAATTTCTGATAGGTACCCGGAGCTACTATTCTATCAACATTTGGATTTGACGCATCAGCATATTGGATAGATGTAGTAAAATTGACCATTATGTTTAGTTCGTTTATAGTACTTTCATTTACCTGTTTACAACTTTTTGTAAAAGAAAAACGTTAAATAATTTTTTTTTATTTATAATTCTCTTTAAAATTACTTTTTAATGCATCAACCACCTGTATAATTTTATATAATCAACAAATAAAATTTTTAAAAAAATCTTTTATTTGCATGTATAACTTTTTTAGACATTAAATACCTTTTTAACCTCTAAGATAAATAAATATATTGTTTATTAATTAATTATAAAATATATTATGTATTATTCGTTTTAGATGTATACAGTATACAATAATAAATAAATCCAAATGAAAACTATAAAGCAATAGATAAATAATACAACAATAATAATGATATATATATAAATAAATAAATATAAATAAATAATAAAATACTTTAAAACTAAATTATATATTTTTGAATAAAATATATATTATATATTATTATATAATGAAAATAAATGATTGATGATATTATTTCACTGTCCTTTGACAGCTAAAAAATAGTTAATGTACTAGCTAATAATAATAGATGAATAATTTTGTGATTGATTTTTTTTTTTTTTGTTTTTTTGTTTTTTTTTTTAGCTTTTTTTAGCTTTTTTTAGCTTTTGAGTAAAGAATATTGCACCACTAATAAAATACCCTAAATCTGTTAATATCTATGTACATATGATGAGGAAAATCGTAATTTTTTTAGATTCCTAAGCTAACCCTAAAGATATAATTAATATGATATCCATATATTTTTGCTACTAATATAATTGATTTAAAAGAATGTCAAAGAATGTCGTGAATAAAGAAAAGAAAAAAATCAATTAGTAAAATATATATATAAACAAAATAAAATCGAAGAGAAATATAACATAAAAAAATTTCAAGTTTGCTGAATTTATATAGCATTAATGGATATTATATTTCTCGTGAAAATAATAAAGAAAGTAAATATAACCAAGTAAAATAAGCCGAGGCAAATTTTAAGAACTGCCAGTTTCCTGTTTTATTTGGTGTTCAATAAAATGAGCATGACCATTCGTCACTCCCGGTCTGTTATCATCCTCCTCATCCTCATCCATCTTAGGTTGTTGAATTTGCATGGGTTGATCGTCGTCTATCCAACGTTGCATAACATACTTTGTACATTTTTCCGCACCAGGCAATTCCTATTAAAAAAAACAACCAATAGATATAAGAACATTATATAAATCAATCAATCAAAGGGTCTTTACATTTTAGATTGATTTACCTGAATGTATTTGGTAATACCTAAATGGCTTAACCCCAACATTTCAGGACCACTAGCGTGCGTCTTCGAAGGAACTCCTTGTACATTGATTTCATCAAGGATCTTTTTCCATACACCGCTCGATGAACTGGCAACGAACTTACGACCAGGCTGATCTTCTGCAGTAACTTGAAACTGAAATGTTCAAAATATAACCGTTAAAATCATACATAACAATCATATGCGTAAAAACATAAGGTCAATTCACTTACGATCGGAGTATCACCGCCATCCAAGATTTCACTGGTATAAGTTGTCCTCCTCGTAACATCGACAGCACTCAAATATTGTTTTTTGCTCATAAAACCAACAGGAAATATATAACGATTGGTATGATATGCTTCTCTATCCCATACTATTTCACCTATAGATTTAGGCAAGGATAAATACCTAACCGTTAAATATATTTATAAAATAAAAAATAAAACCACCAATAAATGTAATATATTTATTATACCTATCCTATAAATCGTCACCTCATTGGTTCCTTTACCAATTGTAACCGGTAATTTCAATGTGCCATCAGGATTCATAGGTAAAGGCTATGTAAAATATAAGACCAATAAAAAATAACCAGTTAAGAAAAAAAAATGAATATTTAAATTTATTAAGAAATTACAAACCTCTATTCTTTTGGCATCTGTACGATCATCTCGCTTCTTTTTCTAAACGTTATATACGTTAATATTATATTTTAAATAAATACCTTTTTCATCAACGAAGAAAACCAATGGTACTTACCACACCCGGTGGCTTTCGACGACGTTTCTGCGGTAACTCATCAGCACCTCCATCATCAGCCTACAAATTGATGTGGTTCATGTTACATACATATATATGAGCTAACCGAAAAACATATAAAAGATCAATAATTCACCTTTCGTTTACCAGGTTTGTTCGAGTTCGATGCTTGAGGGGATGTATGACTTTTTCGTGATGATGGTGGTGAAACTTTTCGTCGATATTCTTTAGTAGTTTTTGGTGGTTCTGAAAAATTTTAAAAACATTACGATATTCGTAGATTATTATAATTATAAAAAGAACAATAAGGCGGTGAGAAATAATTTTTTGAAATAGTTAATTACAATTACATTTAAATATTAACCATATAATGATGATAGATACCGTATCGGCTCATAACAGCAATACTAGCATCATCTTCATCAGAGGAAGCATCGGACAATATCATGTCTTCGGAGGAGCTACTATAAGAAAAATTAATAATGTTGATTAAACGTGCACATAAGGATTTGAATAAAAAAAAGGAAAATAAAATGAAAGGAAATAATTAATTGTACATTTTATAATCAATGAAATGGATTAACGAAATAGAGGGAAAAAGACTAACTTTGATGATACGTCATCGACAAGACTAGGATTCATGTCCATCATTAAGTCAAGTAAGTGACTAGTAAACGCAAAAAAAGTATTAAAACACGAGTTAATAAATGTAATTTGCAGGACTGAAGATATAAAAAGAAAGAAGAATACTGGATCTGTAATAAAAGAATCGTGCTATGTATAACAAACTTACTTATTTTCCTCCTTTAACTTCCGCGCCTTATGCTTGGTTATCTCTAGACTATGTTTCAAGTCGTCCCTTTGCTATAAATTGTAAAGAATTAGTTATTACTAGTCTTTAAAATAAAATAAAAATTCGAGATAAATAATTCAGAGAAAAAGAAGCAAAGCGCGTTATATAATCACCCTTCTCAAACATGAAGAATGGTAATAACATATGCGTAAACATTAAATTATTTCATTCACAGACCTTGTTCAGTGCTTCGTACTTTTCTCGTAACCTATAATATTTTTCTTTGAAAGATCGTGAATCGGCCATGAGTCCAGCCCTGTTCGAGTGGGTAAAAGCACAGATAAACTATAAGCGTAAGTGGAAAGCGAGAGCTTGAACTTGTAAAGAAAACGAAAGAAACGTCCAAAAACTTAAGAAAACTGTCAACAGTTTTTTATTTTGGTATTGGCACGGGTCTATTACGCTTACTACAATAATTATTAAACTAAACTAATGGTTTTTTCATTTTATAGAAGGTTACGCAGCCACACTGACGTCACATAAGTTGAGCATACCTGATATTAGTAATTTAGGAGTTGATGATTTAAAAGCTGGGCTTTTGTTGCCTGGTTGTAGGATATCTTAAAATGTATTATGTAAGAAAGAGAATAATTTCTCGTCTGTTAAAAAAAAAAATTATATAATTTTTGTTTTTTTTTCTTTTGTGAAATTATTTGTTTATTTATTTATTTGAGAGGAGAAAAAAGAAGAAGAAAGCTGAAAGGGGAAGATAAATAATCTTATTATGAAAAAATCGGAGCAATTACCAATTGTGGAGCGATAATAGAAAATTAGGCGTAGAATTTAGTGTATGTATTTATTAATTCTTTTTCGCTCTACTATGGAAAATCGAAGGAAATTAACCGACAAGCCAATACCACAAGACAAAAATTTTATCTAAACTTAATGCAGCGGTTCTTTCCTTCGCCGAAGTAAAGTTTTTATTAACAAATTATATTAAGATCAACAAGCTATAATCGTTTTCTTATCTATTTAACATGTGAAACCCAAAAAACTATCGCAAGAAAACCACGTTGACATTCCGCTCTTCCCAATACTCATTTGTGACACATTAATTTCTTCTTTATTGATATGTACGATACAAAAATATCGCTGCTTTTTCTTATCACACATTTATTAAACCATTTAAGAAAAGAACCAATCAATTAATTTAATATATGCTAGTAAAGCGAGAAATACAAGAAAGAAAAGAGAGGAGAATGATATAAAAAAAATATCCGATATATCCGATATAATTATCAGTGAAACATTATGAGACACAACATAAAATTTGACACGCGAGAATTTCATATTCCGAATATATATATTTTGTGTATCATTAAATCTTCTATAGTACTATTTACCCGCGCAAACTACCTACAGTCTACAATTTATCCACGTGTTAAAGAATGATGTTGATTCTTAGATTACTTTTCCAACGTGAAATGTCAAATGTCAACATAAGAATAATTTTATGATATACGAAAAAAATAAATTGATTTATAGCAAATTTCGCACTGATCATAATAACGTCAATAATGTCGGATGATACATAATTTTAGAATAAAAAAAATATTTCATATTTATTACATCAGTGACCTAAATCATCATTGGGGGGATAGAGTATTTATACGCAGTAAGAATGTAAGCTCTGTTTGGCCGAACATAATGAAATTATCGTGTAACATGCATTTGATCAACGTACGTTAGCAAGGGAAATACTTAATACTTTTAAGGAAATTTCATTAAACCCAAATTTTTTGATATAAAGTATTAGACCGTTTTTGGTTTTTGTTATAATTAAAACTTTTCCTTGCGTCGGGATTGTATTTAAGCCGAAAATTGGTGTAATCTTTTGAGATTACCTTATCTTATTAAGTTATTGCTCTCGCTACGACTTATTATGGTCTTGTAATATGGTTCTGTAAGTTTCAGAAAGTTACATTCTTATCTATTAAGACTCATTGTTTTACCCATTTGCTTTAATAATTTTATCATATGATAATAAACAGTATGACTTAATTAACCAATTTAAGTAAAATCCAGCCAAGTATAACCTGTCAAATTTGTACTGTGTATATAATAATGTTTCATAAAATTTATATTTATTAAATTTATTAAATTTGTAAATGTATTATTTTTATTTATAGATACAAGAATAATACCTATATTTTCTAAAGTTACATTTCTAAATTACTTTCATTAATTTAAATCAAAATAAAATATATTATTATTATATTATATTATTATTAATTAATTACTAATACTTTATTAGAAAATAACTACATTTAACCAGTGGGCAGAATTATATAATTCCTAGTTAAACTTCAAAACTGGATTGTACTAGAATTAACACAATTCTTTGCCTGCTTAATTTTCCCTTCTGTTAAGATTAATAATACTTATTTTGTTAAATATCTATATTTTAGCATAATATTTACTTAATTTGGCTTAATTAAATACAATTTTCCAAATGGTAAAAAAACTAGAATAATAAAAATATTAATTACAAAATTTACTATTTTATTTTAAGGGTATTGCTAAATATCACCAGTGGTGACAGTCACCAGTGGTGGATTTATGATGTAATGCCGGTTAGTATTTTATTAAATTTTAATTCAGGCCAAAAGTGCATCTTAATGGACAATCACCACTGGTGAGCTTTAGCAATTTTCTTATTTTTAAAAGGAGAAATAGACTTTCGAAAACTAAATATTAAAAGGAGAAATAAGATTTATCAAATCATATAACTATTATACATAAAGTTCAAACCATGTCAAATATTATGGCACATTACATCAATTTAATATTATACTAGTATATTAAAGATATAATATGTAATTATTTTTAAAAAGTTTATATATATATATATATATATATATATTTGCAACTATTATAATATATATATACCATTTTTATTATAATTACAATACAGTATTATAATTATTATATAATATTATAATTACTTTTTTTTTATTATAATTATAAAAGTAACTAAACTAAACTTCTAAAACAAAATAAACTACAGTTAATTCCCTTTATAGTCACTTCTATTATAGTCATATTCTACTATATAGTCACACCAGTCAGATGTTTAAAACACTTTATTATTAAAATTTATCCCATATAGTCATAATCTATTCCTATGCTAAATTTTATAATATTTTAACTATATTATTTATGTAATACGAGTCTATACGAGTTATTTTGAGTCGCATATACGGAACATTCACTAGTTGAAATAATAAAATTTGACTTTAATAAAATTTGGCCTATATTTGACCAAATTCAAAAAAAATTCGATCTAAGTATATATTCAACATTGTTGAATTATGGTCGAATAGCATATTATAAAAAAATATGTAAAGTGTTGATCGCATCGCATTACGTATCACTCATGTACTATGTAATTAAGTATGATTAAAAGTTTAATTTAAACTTTCCTTCGTCCTTTTTTCTTTATTTTTTCTTTTTTCTTTGTCCTTCTCCTTTCTCTCGTTCCTTCTTTTACTTTTTTAAAAAACTTTTATAAAGTTTATTTTATTTTATTTTTTTTTTAGGAAATTAGCTCCGAAGTTTAATATTCTAATAAATATTATTAACTTTTCTTTTTTTTTCAGAATGCATTAGGAATGGCCTCTTGGAACGATTTCGTGACTAAAAATGTGAAAAGTGCGGAAGGTTAGTATATTCATTTTTTTTTAAAAAAAATTTTATTATTGTTTTTTACTTACCTTATTCTTATTTTTTTAGGAATGGTCTCTTCTTTCGGAATGGTAATCAGGAATAGAGGTAAATGGAAAGTAGGTCAGCAGGTGTATTGGTGTGTTTATTGTAATTAAGAAACGTTTTAACGTTTCTCTTCTTTTCATAGGATACTATTAAGCAAGCTGAAAGAACTAAGATTCATCATAAGTATTACGAATCTTATTTTTTTCATTTTTTTTAATAAAGTGTAATGGTTCACTAAACGTTCTTATTTTTTTTATTATATAGTGAGCTTTCAAGAATGGAAAAAGAACTAAAATTTGTCGTAAGTATTGCAAATTTTGGTCTTTTTGTTTTTTTTGATATTATGGAACAGTTTACTAACTGTTTTTATTTTTTTTATAGGTTTTGGTGAGCTTCTAACGAATGAAAGAACCAAGATTTGTAAGTAAGTACAAATCTTGGTTGTTTTTCTTTTTTTTTTTTAAGATTGTGAACGATTACTAACCGTTCATTTTCTTTTTTTAGGTCTCGGGTGTCTCTGATGAATGGAAGAACTACATCGGAAAATTTTTTAAGATGCAGAACTGCAAAGATCTGTAAAATTAGCAGATCTCTGCATTTTTTTTTGTGAATTTATGCGAAAGTCTGCGATTTTGCAGATTTCTGCTTTTTATTTTTTACAAAGTTGTGCAATAATCTGCAATTTTGCAAGTTTCTGATTTTTTATATATGAATTTCTGCGGTAATCTGTGATTTTGCAGATTTCTGCTTTTTTTTATGTGAAATTTATGCGGAAGTCTGCAATTTTGCAGATTTTTGCTTTTTTTTTTATTAAAATATCAGTTCGATCTGCAATTTCATCATTAATTTAATATTTAAATTTTGATTAACTCTAACTTGATTTAATACCTAAATGATTTTTTCTACAATACTCTTTAAAAAAAAAAACTTTACAAGACTTTAAAAAAATAATTTTTTCTACAACACCTTTTAGGAAATAATCTGTTAAAGATTCCAAAGAAAAAATATTTCTATTATTTTTTAAGCTTCGAAACTTATCAGAGAAATTTTTTTTTAAAAAAAAAAAATTTATTTGCAAGGTTCAGAGTCTTTAAGGCAAATTTGTCCAACATTCGGCACATAATCTGCAACATGCAGAAGTTTCAGACTAAAAAGATGTCAGACTCCTTTATCTCCTTTTAAAAAATACATTTTACAGAACGCTGAAGGTACTCTATTTCGAAGGTATTTATTACTTTAATATTAATATTATTTAACGAACATTAGAAAATGTTTGTTTTATTAGTTTTATTAGTCCAGAACACAAAAGGTACATCCTGGACTCCATTTCAAAAAAAAAAAAAAATTAAATGAAACATTAGCTAAAGTTCATTTTATTTTTTTTTTTTGTAAGTCCAGAACACTGAAAGTATCAGTTCTGAACTCTATTTTGAAGGTAGAGCTTCGAAACTAATATTTTTTATATACCAGATATTGTCCAACGTTCAGTTTTATTATTTTCTTGTCCTGGACACCAAAGAACAGCTCTAGACTCTTATTTCGAAGGTAAAACCTTTACCTTTGAAATTTTTTTATATTTTGTTTAACAAACGTCGCTAATATTCGTTTTTCATGTTTTTAGATCCTGGCGCCAAAAAACAGCTCCAGACGTTTATTTTGAAGGTAAAATTTACCTCCGAATTTTTTTTATTTTATT